TTGACTGGGTTTGTTTGTTTGTTTGTTTTGATAGTCTGTTCCACTTTTGCCCTCCCCCAATCTTTTAAAACAGGCTCTCTTAATTCTTTTATAAGTTTGTTTTCTCCCAAACGCTGAAACTCACCTACAGTAATCCTAGATTTCCAATTTAGGTTTCAGAATCAATGAACAAGGAATAAAATCAGGATACACTTTCAGAGTCCTTGATCAAGTAAAATTTTTGTAGACTTTGTTTCCCTCAGCCTGAACACTGTACTCCCATCTAGTCATATTTTAGTTCAGGTGAAAGTCATCTCTTGAAGTAAACTTCCCGAGTTTTCAAACCAAATCAGGGTCCTTTATTCAGTGTTCCCACAACCTCCTGCACTTCCCCACCTCAGCACTCATCAACCAAACGAAACCTAATTGTTCCAATCATTGTTGCCCCAGCACCTGTCAAGCAGTGGCGCAACAAACATTTGTTAAAGGAAAGCAGATTAAATCATGTCACCATCTCCATTTCATAAGAATTATAAAATATTAAAGATAACTATTCATTTAATAGATGAGGAAACTAAAGAGAGAAATTAAGTTGCACAAGGTTCCAAAACAGGTAAATAACAACAAAAAACCGAACCAGAACTCCCGAGTGAGGAGCTATTTTCCAAATACCACGCTGCCCCCACTTATATTTTAGATCCTATTTGACACAATCCAAACCGGGAAAACTAAAATGTTCATAGTAAGGATTTTCTCTACAATTTGGCTCCCCCCTTCTCTCCAGAATTTATAAAAAAAATGACTCCTGGAGTTGTTTTACAGGTCTAATTACCAAGAATTTGGTATTTTCCTAAGGAGGAAAAAAAAGCGCCACCGGCCGACAGTAGACCGTGAAACTCTATTACACAAGCTAAACTATAAAGCAGGACGTCAAAAACCTGCGCCTTAGAGACGGATAGCAGCCCTTTTATCATTTCTTTACTCTCTTCAACTTTTAGTCCTCCCCGCTTTCCTGTTCGCTCAACCAGTGTACAACCCGGCCCGCCTTCCCGCCTCCGACCCAAACCGGTCTCACTGCATGATCTCCTCGCTGACATCCAAGCCGAAAGTTTTCCGCAACTGCTGAGTACACCAGCCCACCAGCTGCTCCCGGGACGCCGCCCCAGCCACCGCCATTTTCCCCAGCCGGAACCAGCTGGGCTGCAAAAGCCGCGCGTCCTTCTTTATACTAGTCCCCTTCGCAACACTGACCTTGATCAACCGGGTTCCGCCAGCCTGCACCGCCCCCTCCCCGCCCCCGCGATAGCTCCACCCCCCACCCACCCCTGCTTAGATCCCGCCCATCTGTACCGTCTCATTCTCCTGGCTCCCTGGTTTGATTACTCTTGCGCTAAAACTTCATCCGCGCGCGATTCTTTCACAACTACGGATGTAGCACTCAAACATTCTGCTGACCAGACAGCACAAATACCTATAAAAATTATAGTTTAGGGAAAAAAAAAAAAAGCTGAGGGTGTGTGCGGTGGGGCGGCTTCCCTGATGGCCCAGAGGTTAAAGACAGTCTTAACAAGCTATTGCCAGCCACTGCAGCATGACTGATCACTGGCCAGGGAACTGACCCACATGGGGCAACAGACCTCTCCTGTCTCCCCCCCGCTGCTTCCCCTCAGCGGTGTATTTCAGTACATCTGCCTGTTCTGCTCCCCACCCTGTCTCTGGTGAATCCTCTCACCCTCCCACACGTCTGGCCTACATCCCAGTTCTTGTCTGCATAAATAAATAAATCTTAAAAAAAAAAAAGAAAGAAAGAAAGCGGGGCCTCCCTGGTGGCGCAAGGGGTTAAGTCTCAGCAATATGAAACTATCAGCAGCCAACCGCAGCACAAGCTCCATCCCCAGCCAGGGAGCTGACCCACATGGCTCAGCAGACCTCTCCTGTCCTGCTTGCTGCTCCCTTCAGCAGTGTATTTCAGTCAATCCGCCTATTCTGCCCCCCACTCTGTCTCTGGTAAATCTCACCTTTCCCGCACGTCTCTGGCCTATAGTCCAGCTCTTGTATGCATAAATAAAAATAAAATCTTAAAAAAAAAAACTGTTCTGTCCATTCATGTAAATTAAAAAAAAAAAACCTGAGGGGCCAGCTTTTAAACTGTCCTGGTATTATGTAAAAATTTAAAATGGCCCTTGTAAGCTAGATAAAGTTTGAAGAATTTGCTCTGGTGGTAGTGGTTTTATTACTACTCTGTGTAGTCTGAAAGTACACTACTACAATTTCTATTTAATTTTTTGGGTCACGTCTTTTCCAGGAGAGTGAAGACAACTCAGCAAGTTTGAGGGGTGGAGTGAAGAAGGACTGTAATAAAAGATGCTGGGTTTGGCATTAAGACCGTTCATGTGAATTCCTTAAATTAAAAAATAAAATTCTTTAATTTTTAAAGAAATTAAAGGTGTTTCAACTCAAGGCGACCAGATTTAAGGGTCTTTTGCTATTCCCCACTCCACTGGAACAGACCAGGGAAAGTAGCTAGACTTTTCCAGAGAACATACTGTCTTCACATATACTTCGTCCATAAATTTAATTGGTGTCTTTGTGTTACATTTATCGCTTCTTCATTAGGCTAGTTAGGCTCAGTAATTACATTAAATTGACTGCTTTTCACAAGTTTGTGCTATTTTCATTGATACAAATATCAGTAAAAATAATGAAAATCATATGACTGCATTGAGTTACATTGACTTTAGATTGTCTTTGTTATTCAATTGTAAAATACGTGATTCTTTAAAAAAAAAAAACCCACAAGATCCTCTGTGGGTGTTCATTAATAGTTGGAGCAGGTTGTCTGTCTTCATGAAAATCTGCTACATATAATACTAGTAACATACCCAAATCTTTTATCTGTTTCTATATCCTTTCAGTTCCATAACTAAACAATTTCTTGAGACAGACTACAATCTAACTTTTTTTGCACGAATTTATACATTATGATGAAACGACTAGATCCTCAAGGATAGGTGTTCTTCCTTCATATGGCAAATATTAGTGATTATAATCTCAACTTCCTAATGTATGTAATGTAATGCCACTTATAGTCTTATTTAAAAAATAATTTTCTGCCTGAGCAAAGCAAGCATACCTACCTAACATTATTTAAAAGTATTCTTTAGTATAAATTTGGCCCGAAATTTCATTCACACATACTAGTTTTTTCTGAATGGTCTAGGCTTTCAAATTTTTCAGTTTCATACTATACAACTTTTTTTTTTAACTGCAAAGGAGAAGGACTTCTGCAAAACTGACATTTAAATTTAGAATTTTGAGGCCTCCCTGGTGGTGCAAGGAGCTAAGCACCGCACTATGAGGCAACCGCAGCCTCTGCAGCACAAGTTCGACCCCCAGCCTGCCAGGGAGCAACCCACATGGTGCAGCAGACCTCTCCTGTCTCACCCGCTGCTCCTCTCAGCAGTGTATTTCAGTCTGCCTGTTCTGTTCCCCACTCTGTCTCAGGTGAATCCTCTCAACCCCACCCCCCCCGCCTGTACCCCAGCTTTTGTATGCATAAATAAATCTTAAAAAAAATAAATTTAGAATTTTTACTAGGCATCGCTGCTTTTTCCTATTTTTTCTCTAACATGCGTCTTTTACTATCACAATCATTGTTAAATAAACACACAAACAAAAACAAACACAGCTATAGTATTGAATAATGTGTAGACTGTCCCTGGGTGCAAAGATTTACTTGAAATTTTTCCTAGCAGCTTACTGGGCCTGTGGACTAGGGGGAAAGACTAGCAGATCAGCTCTGCACTTCCAATAACTGCAGAGATCTGGGATATGACTTCAAATTAAGTGATTCAGATTACTTTGTGAAGCCACTTTAACGGAAAAGAAAATTACCTGCATTGAAGAAAAACTGTGCTTTGAAAGCGGTATGAGGATAAATGACAAAGGAATTCCCTGGGGCTTGTTGATTTTTCCTGTCGGAATTGGGTTGTAATCTTAGACTCCAGGGTTTAAACAAAATACAGGTAATTTCCAATACACTTCCTATTATTCTAATGTTAATTAGCCTATTGTCTCAATTCTTTAATTCTAAAACACAAAGGAGTTGTTGATTCAGTTAAAGTACTGAGCAGCCTGTTTTCTAAGTTCCTAGTACCCTATTTTTAGGTTCAAGCACATTTCTTTGGAGACAATCAACATCGTGTTTTACACTTTCAGAATTGCCTTTCATGTGAGCATTTAACAAAATTCATCACAAGACAAGCTTATCTAATGTTTTATGCATGGTATTCACAGTGACAATCACGCCCTGGGGTATTTTGAGTAATTAGAAGATAGGCATAAGGACAGAGAACAATCATGTGCTCCCATTCTAGAGTACACTCACGACATGCCAGGGATGTACCTTTAGCACATTTGGCAAATTTTTCAGGGCTTCTGAGACCATTCAGGTCTCCGGAAGACATTTTATTGATCTGTTTCTTTCCGGTGTGTATGCATGTAAAAGGCATCCAGTTTCCCTTTAACCCAGTTTTTCTCCTTAACCTCGCATTCTAAAGACGTAGCCAAATGCTGTAAATAAACTGTCTCTGCTTCCTTTTCACCGGAAGATTGAGTATGTTTTAGTGTGCGTGTTGCACTGAGCATTCGTGCCTGAGGCAGCCACGTTCTCTTTATTTCGCCTGGCAGCCAAGAAGAGTACGCTTTGTTTCAGGTTTTACTCTCAGGAGTCAGTCAGGGAGGGGTCTTTGGAAGAAATATTGGAATTCACCGTCTCCGCGTGGGTGTCTTTCTCAGCCGGCTTACGCTCCCCAGCTCAGAATCTGAGCCCCCGAAGTGTGCGCCCGGCGAGGTGCCCGGGCCCCGCCCGCCCGGGGCGGGCACGAATCACAGGCGCCCGCGAGTTAATGGACGGATCCGCGCGGCGCCTTGGCCGCGGCCGCCCGGCTGGAGAGCGGAGATTGGTGGCGGGAGAGCCCCGCGCGCCCAATGGAGGCTGCCGCCCTGGCGGGTCCGCGGGGCGCGCGGGAAACAGACCAATATAAACTGTGGCGGGAGATTCGTTTTCGGGTCCTTGTCCCGAGCAGCACCCTCCGCTGGGAAGCCAGTTGGTTGCTCTCCTCTGCTCGTCCGAGAACATGGTGCGGACTAAGGCCGACAGAGTCTCAGGCACCTTCAGAAAAGGTGAGGCGGCCAAGCGACCACCGGAGAGAGGGGCGGTCTTCTGCGCCCCGGCCGCGGGTTGGAGAGGACCGGGCTCCCCGCGGCCCGGTCCAACGTGTCCCACCCTCCACAATAGCGCCTCGGCCCCTGGACCAGAAGGAGCGGCGGGCTCGGGGGAGGGTTGTCCCCCTGGTGAGGGTCACGGGCCTCTGCTCTCTAAGAGCCTAGTTGGGGGGCCGTGGTGGGACCCAGACTGGGGTCCGCGCCTTGCCGCCCCAGTTCTGAACGTTTCCTTTGCCTCTCTTCGCAGTGGTGGCTTCCCGAGCCCCCCGGAAGGTGCTTGGTTCCTCCACCTCAGCCACTAACTCCTCGTCGCTTTCGTCGAGAAAAGGTACAAAGCGCCTCTGCATGCTCCTGGACGAAACTCTAGAAGGGCATCAGGCCTGGCACCACAGTCCTCCTGACCGGCGAGAGCCCTGACCCACAGTGGAATTTGTTCCCCCGAGATCCTAACGCCTGAATTTCTAACTTGTCCTCTGTTTATAAGGAGAGGACTTGGCCTTTGGCGGGCTGGGGTAGAGGTGGGGGTTGCTTGGAAAAACATTTCAAATCTCGGGGTTAGGGACGTGCACGGTTGCGCTTCAAATCTGTTTTTCTTTTCTGGTTTAGCGTTTTAAGTTTTCTTAATATTGACTCTCTCTCTCTCTCTCTCTCTCTCTCAAGCGATTATGTAAGTGCTCTTTTACAAGATGAAGAATTAGAACGATAGTTGAGTGCTTGAGTGTAAATCATGTCTTGTAAGTGTAAACGTTCATTTCTGCATGTTTTTCTTGATCTCTCTCTGCCCCTCTCTCCCACACTCTCTTTTCCTCTCTTTCTCTCTCTCTCCCCATCCACCCATTCTCTCTTTCTCTTTCCTTGCTTACGTGTGTGCTTTCCAACTCTGCCGCTGCTTTGGGACGGTAAGAGCAAAAACTGGGCCTGGGGAAACAGCTTCACATGCTTCTTCTGTGCAAGGAGAGTTTATGAAAATGCTGTGCCATCCAGCGCCTCATTCCTTTCAAGTAGGAAGCTGGGCGGGCAAGAAGATTTAATTCCAGTGAAGTAGATACACTTTTAAAGTAGGAGCACTTTTAAAGGTTTCATGGGTTAAGTTAGCTTAGAATTTCCCCTATTGTGAACATTTCATTAGAAAAGTGTTTACTGTTTTAATCTCTTTAGATAAAAAGAAATAGGTCAAAATTGTGAAATACATGAATTTATTGAGAATGGCTGATTAAACTCCAATTAAGACCACATCCCACTGTCCACTATTCAACCACTAGAATCAGCTGATCAGGCCCTGAATATGTGTGTGGGACAAATGCACCCATTAAGGCATTTTACAGATTTCTATTTTTAATAAGCAAATGTATGAAATTGTTAGCACTTTCATTTTAAAGATAAGGAAATGGCTTGCATACATTGTCATGCAACTAGTCAACAGAGCTGGGTTTGAATCCTGTACTGAACTATGGTTTGCTGCTATACACTTTCTAGTAATAAAAGAATTCCCATAAGGTTCCTAGGAAAATTACAAATGAAAGGATCGCTGCTTTTTAAAGGCCATTTGTACCTTTAAAAAAGTACAAGCAATATAATTTCAGTCCACACAGAAGCAATTTTTGCAAAGTTGCAAAACTGTTAAAGTTTGTGACAAGTGTGTTTGAAATAAAAGATAAATCTAGTAAACTTGCTCCTCTTGGTCATCTAATTATTACTTATAAAGGAGCAGGGCTTTTTTCTTAATTGTCCCTTTATAATACTTTTTAAAAGTAATCAAGGGCCTCCCTGGTGGCGCAGCAGGTTTTCTGTAGCGCTGTGAAGCTGTACGCAGCCTCTGCAGTGCGGGGCTGATTCCCAGCTGGCCAGGGAGATACCCACATGGTGCAGGGAGATACCCTCTCCTGTCTCTCCCAGCTGCTCCCCTCAGCAGTGCTTTCGGTCAGTCCCCACTCTGTCTCTGATGAATCCTCTCACCCTCCTGTGCCTCTGGCCTGTACCCCAGCTATTGTATAAATAAAAAATAAATCTTTAAAAAAATAAAAGTAATCAAAATTGGATATATTTTATGTACTGAAAAGGAACCAAATGCTTTGGAAAGTGGAACTTATTTTTGTGGAAACTTGCACATTGTTGTATACTTGTCTTGCCTTTTACATGTACTTTATCTAAATTACCTTATATAAAAAATTGGCATTTTTTACACAATGCCAGCTTATATTAGGAAAAATGTGTGAGACTTTAGAATGTTCTATGTATTATTTAAGTGCTCTGTGGATTAAATATGAAAAATATTTTCCAGTTGTAAAAATTCTACTGACACTATTTTTCAGAATAAATGATAACTGTAATAAAGAATTATACATTATATCTAATAAGATGCACAATACACTATAATGCATAATACATAATGTAGTGTTAGTGATTTAATAGTTTCATTGTCACATTTTTTAATTCTTTAAGATGGATGTAATAATACATAATGTAGTGTTAGTGATTTAATAGTTTCATTGTCACATTTTGCAATTCTTTAAGATGGATGTAATACCATTTAATACCTTTAAGATTTGATGTTAAAGAAAGAATTAAGTTTCCCTATATGAACTGGAGTTTATATTCTTAGTTCTCATTAGTTCCATCTTTTTATATTTTATAGCTGAAAATAAGTATGCAGGAGGGAATCCAGTTTGTGTGCGTCCAACTCCCAAGTGGCAAAAAGGAATTGGAGAATTCTTCAGATTGTCCCCTAAAGATTCTGAAAAAGAGAATCAGATTCCTGAAGAAGCAGGAAGCAGTGGCTTAGGAAAAGCAAAGAGAAAGTAAGTTTTTATACCCTGGAATATAAAACAAAAATTTATATTCTTGAAAATAAAAGGCTATTTCATGTTGAATAACTTTAGTTTTTCTTTGGTCGGATAAGAAAATACAAAGGAGGTTCTTAAAAATTGTTCTAATCTATTATGAGTCACTCCAAATTTCAAAATGTAATTTTTACTCATAGAGGATCGTTTCCCATTTAGATAAGTGCTATATTATTAACCATGAACTTCCTGTATTTATTCTTCAACTTTTACTATCTATTTTCTATAGCATGTTTTTCAAAAAGCAATTTCCATTTGGTTTTTCTAACTTGAGTTCCATTAGTCCCACCCCTCAAAAAACTACTACTTCAACCTCCACAAGAAACATATAACCAATGTAGAAAAGCTGGAAAATATAGAAATGCCCTGCACTTAGAAACAATAAAAACTAACACCATGGTGCATTATTTTTTTAACAAGTTCTCTATAAATACATAAGAATACTTCAAAACAAAACAAGGTGGAAATAAAACTACACAGAGTTCCATGTGCAAACTGTTAATGAAAATAATTAAGTCATCGTTTTAAAGCTTTAATGACATGGGCCCTCCCTGCCCCCCCCCCCCCACTTGAGTGCTGTGCTGTGAAGCTGTCCGCAGCCTCAATAGTGTGGGTTTGATTCCCAGTCCGCCAGGGAAAAACCCACATGGTGTGGCGTCCATCTGCCTGTTCTGCTCCCCGCTCTCTCTGGTGAATTCTCTCACCCTCCCGCGCCTCTGACCTATATTCCAGTTCTTGCGTAAATAAAAAAATCTTTAAAAAAAAATAAAGCTTTTATGACAGGAAAATACTCAGAAATGTTAAGCAGAAATTCTAGATACAGAAGTACAATATTTATTGTGTAAAAGACATGTATATAAATAGGCCATATCTGTATAAAATATACTACATATCAATAGTGGTTATCTCTATATAAAAACCTCTCCTCACACTTGCGTACTCTGTGCTACCAACTTTCAACAAAAACATACTTTTAAGAATTAGGGAAAAATTAATGCCACTTGGAAAAAAGAAACAACGGAAACCTGCCTTAAAAAAACAGATTTATAATTCATGGCTTAAAAAGAGGTTTATAAATCTAGGCTCTAAATAGCTTTGAAATATTTTGTTTCAAAAACATTAGTTGCCTGGGGTTGAGGGTAGTGAGCACAGGTGGGTGGGTGGTGCTGCTCACTGTCACTGCCATTGTGATACCCCTTGACTTAAGACCCTCTAGCTACCTTCCTGGCATCAGTCACCCCTGGACCAGCCACCCCTCCACCAGCCAGAAGCCTGTGGTCCTCCAGCACACCAAACAGTGAGCCTAACCCAAAGCTCAAGTCACCAGCATGGGCAAGGGGCTAGTGGTTATTCTCAGTCTGGGGCTGCTGCTTCTGGTGCTGCTGCTACCCATGACTTAATCGTTTGTACCTTTATATAGCTGGCCAGATCCTCCACCCCTCCCCACAACACAGCCCAGCACTGGCCTGCAGCCAAAAGTCAATCTCCTTTTGGTCTTGTTTGCCCTTTTACATCTCTACTTTTAAGAGTCAGATCAAGGAAATATCTATAGTTCACCAAGTCCAGTGTGGCAAGGGGAAAACAGGTCTTCATCAAATCTACTAATTCTATTAATTAATGCAGAAAATATTGGGAGTTTCAAATTGGACTGGTTTAACAAGCATCTTAAGGATTTGACAAAATAATGAATGCCAATATTAAATCTGCTGGACTTTGATGAACAGTACTGGAGAAACAACATCGAAAAAAGTCAATGATGTGATTAAATGTAGCTTAAGAAATATGGACACTTAAAACTCTACCTTGAAAAATCAGAATAATTTCACCCTAGTCATGTGAAAAACGATGAGCTGTGGAAAGGAAATTTTGTTTTCACTTAAATCTAGACAGCCATAAAATTATAACTAATATAAAAAGCTTCCATATTTCTATGTATGTGTACTTTGAAAGGAACCACCAGGTGTTACTGTAAATCTTCTTTGTATTGTGTCACCTTTCTAATTTAGTGATGATATACTCTTTTTTTTTTTTTTAAGATTTATTTTATTTATTTATGCACACAAGAGCGGGGGTGCAGGCCAGAGGTGAGGGAAGGTAAGAGGATTCACCAGAAACAGAATGGGAAGCAGAACAGGCAGGTTGACTGAAACGCACTGTTGAGGGGAGCAGTGGGCAAGAGAAGAGGTCTGCTGTGCCATGTGGGTCAGCTTCCTGGCCGGGGATCAAACCCGTGCTGCAGTGGCTGCTGACAGCTTCACAGAGCTGAGACATAATCCCTTGTGCCACCAGGGGAGCCCTGATATATTCTTCGTAAAGTTTTACACTTTTAAGTTTTGACTGTTCTCTTGGGAACGTAACCCTTTGCCCTGGGTGTTTTGTTTTGTTTTTTTTTTTTTTAAGATTTATTTATTTTTATGCATACAAGAGCTGGGGTACAAGCCAGAGATGCGGAGGTTGAGAAGATTCAACTGAGACAGAGCGGGGAACAGAACAGGCAGATTGACTGCTGCTGAGGGGAGCAGCAGGTGAGCCAGGGGAAGTCTGCTGCACCATGTGGGTATTTCTATGGCCTTCCGGGGATTCAACTCATGCTGCAGAGGCTGAAGATTGCTTCATAATGCGGTGCTTAACCCCTTGCGCCACCAGGGAGGCCCCTGCCCTGGGGTTTTTGATTTGACATTGCATTTGACTTTATGTAGTTACTGGCATGTGCTGCAGCAAAAATGGATTTGAATTTACTACAAATCCAAACATGGGTACTTCTTGCATGTACACGTAAAAGTCAAAGAACAGGTATTTTCTATCATACATCTCATCCAGGAAGAGTTTCAGATTCAATTAGCAAACTTGGGTCACTAATTAGATTCCATAGATTAGATGTGCATGAACTTTAATCTTAAAATACTGCTTTTTATTTCTGTATATGTTGAATAATTTTTATAACTTAAAATGTGATCTATTTTGAAGGCATATTTGACAAATCTTAAGATTAAGATACAAATATATGAAGTGGGCAAAAATATATTTGAGGTTTTAGGGAAGTATAGGCTGGAAACTTGTTGCATTAAAATCACAACTCTTGTGCTCTTTCTGTAAATATTAAAAGCCAACAATAAAATTATGAGTCAGAATAGCTACATTTGGAATACATTCTGTATCAGTCAATATTTTTAGATAGCTAGAATCTGGTCCTGATTCTGGATAGTAAAACTTTACAACCGCCTCAATGTACAGATACCTTTTTAGAAACATACACTCCATGAAATCTTTGGTTCACATGTTCACACACTGATGCTTAGATGTTCTGGTATTCAATGTGGACAATAGTATTCTTAATATGTTTTAAGCCAGTATTAGCCATCTTTAAAACCTACTTGGAAACAGCCAGATCCAACATATCTCAAGCTAGTAAGATCTTTGTGTAAGAATGAACACTCATCCTGTTTTGAGATGTACATTGTATTTGGAACTGATTTGCATTGAACACAAACTGAACAAAAATAAATGGCTGAAAAAGCAAAATACTTGACATATAAAATGATTTTTATGCATATAAAGTTTAAGAATTATTGAATACTGTTCATGAGATCATTTAGTAAGTAGTTATTGAGTGCCAGCTATCCATTTTATGAGATATTTAAAAGGAATGTCATATGCTGGAGAAGTAACTGTATCTGAAACTTCATGCTATATGATAATAGTGTTATTCAAAAAAATCAACAACCAAAGGGAATAGACTGGCCTAGCCTCTATGTAAAACAGTATGGCGGTTTCTCAAAATATTCACAGTAGATCTACCATATGATCCAGCAATTCCACTCAAACCCAAAGAATGCAAAAACTCTAATTTGAAGGGGTATATGTACCCCTATGTTCATTGCAGCATTATTTACAATAACCAAATTATGGAAACAACCTATGTGCCCAAAATCAGATGAGTGGATTAAGAAGATATGGTATGGATGGGCCTCCCCGGTGGTGCAGCGGTTGAGCGCTGGGTTGCAAAGCTGCCGGCAGACTCTGCAGTGCCGGTTCAATCCCCAGTGGTTCCCCGGCCACCGGAGGAGAGTCCCACATGGCGCGCAGACCTCTCCTGCTGCCCGCTGCTCCCCTCAGCAGTGTTCTTCGGTCCTTCTGCCTGTTCTGTTCCCGGCTGTGGCTCTGGTGAATTCTCTCACCCTCCCGAGCTTCTGACTGTACCCAGTGCTTGTATGTATAAATAAATAAATAAATCTTTAAAAAAAAAAAAAAGATATGGTATGGAACCACAATAGAATACTATCAAGCTATAAAAAAAAAGATGAAATCCGGGGCCTCCCTGGTGGCACGAGGGGTTAAGACGCAACCTATGAAGCTGTCCCCAGCCTCTGCAGCACGAATTCAATCCCTGGCTGGCCAGGGAGCTACCCACATGGTGCAGTAGACCTCTCCTGACTTGCTCGTTACTTCCCTCAGCAGTGTACTTCAGTCAATTTGCCTGTTCTGTTCTCTGCTCTGTATCTGGTGAATCCTCTCACCCCACACATCTCCGGCCTGTACCCCAGCTCTTGTATGCATAAATAAATAAATCTTTTTTAAAAAAAGATGAAATCTTGCCATTTGCCACAAAATGGATAGAAATAGAGGGGATTATAGTAAGTGAAATAAGGCAGAAAGATAAATACCAGATTACTTTACTCAGTGCAGAATAAAAAGAAATAAAACAAAGTAACAGACAAAGCTAAACTGAAAGAAACCCTAGAAAGTTGACTGCTGAATTGAGGCTGGGGAGGGGAGATGGACAAAGGACTATGGTGGAGGATTATTGGTGTTTTGTTGTGGTATGGGTGACATGTATCTGAAGAGGTGTAAGCCTATTATATCATAAGCAATTTGTAAACCAATGTTACCTCAATAAAAAATAATACAAAAACCCACAAAACCTCAAGGGATATGTTTTTGAAGAGAGTTCTTAAAAATAGATTTCTTTTTATGATTCTGTAAGTCTGTTCTAGTTCCTTCTCATTATCTGGCACCATTCTTCCATTGTCGTTCCCCCTTCTAATAGAAACAAACTAATAGTCAATACTAGCTTTAGACTATACAATCCTCTGGGTTTTTTTTTGTGATTTTCATTAAGGAAATAAAACATTTGGCACTATAACAAAATATGCCTATATCATTGATCATTATAACAATAAAACCTCTATTACAGGTTTTCTATCACATAAAGGTTATAGTCTCATAAAGAATTTTAATCCATGGCATAACAAATCTGTGACATAAAATTAGGCAATTGAAGTTTACTTTATTCTGTTAGGTCACATTCTTAGATTTAGTTTAGGAGTGTTTTAATTTACCCCTTTAGTGAAAAAGGAAATCAGTTTAAAGAAGTTTACAAGTCAGATAAATTCCCTGATTCATGAGCTGGAATATGGCTATTCCTATTTTAATTTTCTCACAAAGGCAAGGTAAACATCCATCAGTTACATTGGGAGAGTCAGAATCAGGCTATCTACTCAAAACCTTGATCAGTACTATCATGCCTGGTAAACTGTTAACTCAAAAAATAAAAAAGTTACAGGAAGGAAAAAAACAAGGTTATAATGCCTAAGGGATAATAACAGGCTCTTTCAAAAAGAAGGTTTGGGTAATGACAGCGTTCATTATCTTGATTTAATAATGCCCAGGAAGACACAATGAAGGCCTCTTGGTGAGCCAATAGTTAACCATAAAAATACACCATGTCAGAATACCTTCACTTTAACTTACTATTTTTCACTAGCTAGTTCTAACACCATGCAGTCTTACTGGATTTAATTTCAAAACTCATTATTTTAGAGTAGGTCTCACAAATCTCCATCAGCTCTAAGAAGCAATTCTGACTTAATGATTGTTTTTTTTTTAAGATTTATTTATTTATGCATACAAGAGCTGGGGTACAGGCCAGAGGTGTAGGGGTGAGAAGATTCACCAGAGACAGAGTGGGGAACAGAACAGGCAAATTGACTGAAATACACAGCTGAGGGGAGCAGGGAGCCAGTCAGGAGAGGTCAAACTGGTACTGCAGAGGCTGTGCACAGCTTCACAGGTTGCGTCTTAACCCCTTGCGCCACCAGAAAGGCCTCTTAATGATTGTTTTTAATTGATTTTTTTCCCTCTGAAAAGTGTAGTGGCTTTGAGATAATACATGTTTTTTCAAAAACTATGAATCTCATCAACTTAAATAATTTGGGGTTTTTTCAATTTGATAGTATACTAATATGGTTCAAAAGGGTATATACAGTTAAATATGACAACTTGCTATATATTTTCTCTGCTCAAGTGGATTGGTTACTTTTTTTGCCTTTTATTATCACAAACTTCTTACTGAAGGATCATGCTGTTTATCAATCCACTTAAAAAACATGTTGAAAAATGCTATAGAAATACAGATTCTCTTTTTTAATAAAAATAGCAACATATCCTAAATGAGAAGCACTGACTCAACAAAATGAACAGACAAAATAAATTGTTAAAAATTTTGTTGCTTACAATTTGAAATTTGTAGATGTTTGTATAATGAAATTTGGTTTTCTCTCAATTCTGGTCACTTGACCAGACCCACTATATTATCAATTAATATTCCTGATTATATATAAGCTTGTAAATACCGTTTTTTTAAACAGTTGATGTTCAGGTGACTATTGAAGTTCTCTATTTTTTTCACAGAACTTGTCCTTTGCAACCTGATCTCACAGATGATGAAAAAGAATAGAACTTTCTTATTCATCCTTGATTATGTCTTCTGTTTATTCTGGTATTCTAGGATGTAAATTTGCATTAATGTATTTGTTTCAATTATCCTTGCTGAATAGGTATTTAATTAAAAAAACAGGACTTACATTTAGTAAATCAAAAGTAAGTGGTTATGATATTGGAGAGTTTACAAGATTAATTATGGTTACTTAGCTTAGTATTCAGTCTATGCAGTTATGGTTTCTTTTACCTGTTATTAGATTCTTGTTATTGCTAAAAACAAATCATTGTATGGTATTCTAACTATGAATCTGCTGTATTTGAGATTTGCTTAGATCTTTGTACTGCTGAAATTTTTATTGGCATTTGATTATTGGAATGGTGCCATGTTTTATTTGCTCTTAAAAGCAGTTAGATTTTTGCACATTAAAATTTTTCAGTATTAATTAAACTGAACCTATACTTTTTTTTTTTTAAGAAAGGGGGCCAAAGATGCATTGTTGAAAAAATTAGGATGACTATCTTTTTAGAAAAATTTTAGGGCAATTTGATCCCCGAAGACTTAAATGGTTGATCAAATTCTAACAACAAAAGGAAAATACCTGTACAAAACCAGGCAGAAAGATTCCATAGACTACATTAAATGAGAGGCATTCTCCTAGAATATGCATTTGATTTAGTGTCATAGACCTTTGAGCCTATGATTTTAAAGTTGAAAATAAATAAAAAATGAAAGGCATATCATGCCATAAACTTAGAGATATGTCTAAAGTCCTTCAAACTACCATTATATTTTTCAAGATAACTAAGGCTATAATTGAAGTGGTGTATTACTTAGTGTTAGATACTCTTCTTTCCTCATTACACTTTTTGCTCACATATTGTCAAAATTAACCATGTTTTGATAGGCATGTTTTTTCTGATTTGTTTTTAATAAAATAATACTTATTTTCACAATAGGCTATCCATTTGTGGATTTTCTAAGGTTATATCCTACTAGATCCATTCATTCCTTCCAAATACAATTCAATGTATTGACCTGATTTTATTAACTTCCAAACCAATGATTGTAGATCATATTTTTTGCTTTGTCTTTTAGAGATGGGTACTGAACAAAATGTTTCTGGTACTGAGCAGTTTTTATTCAAAGTACTTCTTTGGTAATTAGGCTTCTTATTAAAGAGTAGCTCAAACCAAATCTATTAAAGTCAAATTTTGATGGGTCTGCAACATTTGCTGTTTTCACTTACTGAGAGAAAAATATGGCAGTGTGCCCAGTGAAGCCTAATTTTGATAGGTGTTAATTGATAGTCTTTTAAAGTATATCTTACTTGATGATGTGTTAGTTATTATGCAGAGGTCCCATATAATCTGTTTTCTTGTCAAAGCTTTTCAAAAATGTAGATTGCTCCATAGGAACTATATAAAACCAATAAAGTTCAAATGAGTAAAACTTTAAAAAATAAGCTATTTTTTCTGAAAACAAACAAACAAATCTAAATTAGGCAAGTTAGCCTCTTCTAAATAAGGGAAATACAGAAGACTCCCTATTTACATTGAAATTGAATTAAGAAATCAAATTTATAAGTTAATAGCAATAAGATAATTAAGTTAAGCTTGTAATTTTTTAGTGTTCACAAAGCTTATCTGGTTTTCCGTGTGTGTGCGTGTGTGTAGAACTGGGGTGTACACCAGAGGGGTGGAAGGTTGGGACATGAGAGGATTCATCAGAGACAGAGTAGGGAGAACAGGTGGATTTACTGAAATATACTGGTAAGGGAAGCAGCAGGTGAGACAGGAGAGATCTGCTGCAGCATATGTGGGTCAGCTCCCTGGCCAGGGATTGAACTCAGACTGTAGCCATGATAGCTCTGAGACTTAACCCATAGGCCACCAGGGAGGCCGTTGATTTTCCTCTTTGAATGGATTATTCAAATTACTATTGCTAGTGATAAATTCCTCACTAAGCAATGGTTAAAAATACTTTTCTGGAACTTTGAATGCTAGCATAATGTGAGGATCATATGTATTTTGTGTTTCCATAGTTTCACAAAGGAAGAGCAATATTATAGTAAAAATTAGCATGCTTAAAAATATATTTACAAGATGTCAAATGTGTATCATTTTTATTTCGTTTAAAGATTTATTTATTTATACATACAAGAGCTGGGGTGCAGGCCAGAGATGTGGGGGGGTGAGAGGATTCACCAGAGACAAGAGTGGGGAGCAGAACAGGCAGACCTACTGAAATACACTGTTGAGGGGGGCAGTAGGGTGAGACAGGAGAGGTCTGCTGCACTATGTGGGTTGCCTACCTGGCCGGGATTGAACTCAAACTCGTGCGGCAGCAGAGAACTTCACAGTGCTGAGACTTAATCCTTTGTGCCATCAGGGAGGCCCGTGTATCATTTTTTAAAAGAGAGAAAATAAAGCTTAAATTAACTGGACCTTAACCATATGTCTACCTATATCAGTTACAAATCTCACTACACTGAGAATCCTTTAGGGTAACTCACATTTGGAAAAATTGAAGTTTCAGTTGTGCCTTGGTCGAATCAACTTTGGTTCCTTTTACCTTTGAGGATAGCATATAGAGGTGGGAGAAATCTTCACAGTCAAAACTGGGCAGAATGTTAAAATTCATCTTGCTCAACCTAAGGCAGTAGCAATTATTCATTAGATGGTCTGGCTTTTTAGCTAACCACTTTAATCGTGAAAAATATTATTAATTAAAAGTCTGAATTTTTCTAACTCCTATTTTTGTTTCTGTCCTTGAAATAACAGAACAAGTAATTTTTTCCACATGTCCTTCAAGTATTCAAAGAAAGCTGTCACATCTTTAACTTTCTCTTCCTAAGATAAACATTCTATTGTTTATGTCACATGCATGTCTTTTGTGTAGTATACTGCTTAACTAAAATGGATACATTTCTCCTAGCTGATCACAACAATTCATTAATTAAACTCAATACTAGATTCTAGTTTTGGTATCTTTTATATCTGGAGAGGTAAGTAGAATTCAAGTATTAATTATTTTAAGAATGTTACTAGTTAATGAATAACAATAGTGTTTCCCAAAAATAAATGTTAGATACCTTAGTTCTTAAATGATTACAGAGCACAATAAAAACATGAAAAAAGTTTTCAAGAGACTGGGAAAAAAGGCTGAACATCCCATATAATCTTTAGGATGACGGTATTATACTGACTATGAGGCTATTTGATCTGGCAATATTTATTGTTTCATATTAAGAATATGGATCCTGGGCCTCTATGGTGGCACAGGGGTTCAAGTCTCAGAGCTATCAAGCTATCGCCAGCCACTGCAGCATGAATTCAATCTCTGGCGAGGGAGTTGACCCACATGGTGCAGCAGACCTCTCCTGTCTTGCCCACTGCTCCCCTCAGCAGTGTATTTCAGTAAATCTGCCTGTTCTGCTCCCCACTCTGTTTCTGGTGAATCCTCTTACCCCTCACACCTCTAGCCTGCACCCCAGTTCTAGTATGCATAAATAAATAAAAAAGTAAATCTTTAAAAAAAAAAAGAATATGGGTCCCCCTAGTGCTGCTCATAAAAATCTTAAAAGGTATAGTCAAAATCTTAAAAGGTATAGTCAAAACCTTTATAGTTACATCTTTATGTGTGGATTTTGCTGTACGTCTATAGAGGTCCCCAAGAAACTAGCACGTTGAAATGATATAATTACAGAAGTCATGTGACCATCTAGGAGTCAAGCCAGTTATTCATATACCTATGTGAAAGTGATTGAATAAATAAAAGTTGTAGGAAAAGTCTAAGGGAGTAAGTCCTATTTCTTCAGGCAATAGGAAAAATGAATGATTCATTGGGATTTGCATTTCTATTGGCTTGAATTACCACATTTAATCTTTTTTTAACCACATGTAATCTTAACTATTGATTTTAACCAATAAAACACTTCTTCCTATAAAACACATTTACTATAATCATGTTTAAAAATTTTTAGAGAGAGCCAAAGTCCACCATAGTTTTAAATGAGTCATTGCTCATTGGACTTATAGTTTTATTTGCTTTTTTTTAAAAATTATTTATTTAGTTATACAAGCACTGTGTACAGTCAGAAGCGCGGGAGGGTGAGAGAATTCACCAGAGCCAGAGCGGGGAGCAGAACAGGCAGAAGGACCGAAGTACACTGCTGAGGGGAGCAGCGGGCAGCAAGAGAAGTCTGTGCGCCATGTGGGACCCTCCAGTGGCCGGTGGCCGGGGAGCAGCCGGGGATTGAACCGGCGCTACAGAGGCTGCGGGCAGCTTTGCAACCCAGAGCTCAAGCGCTGCGCCACCAGGGAGGCCCAGTTTTATTTGCTTTTTTTAAAAAAAATTCTATTTTATTTTATATATTTTTTACATCATTTTTCATTTTTGCACAATGTATGCATTTTCATCTTGATTATTGTCCCCATTCAATCCCCCACCTTATTTTCACCCTAATCCCTTCCCCCATTTGCTTTTTAATTTAAAGTTTTTTTGATACTTAAACCTGTTGGCAATTAAAATATCAAGCACTAGTTTAACATGGTAACAGGTTTATCACTTGTCACTTTAAGTTAGGTTTTTAAAAGAACAATTAAGTACTCAATTACTCAGATTCCATTTGAAGTGTGTGTATACTTCCACAAATATGCATGTCCACAGCAAGGTTTGAAATGTTTTAGATTCATTAAACAACCTACTACTGACATTTGAATCTCAAATGATATCCTAAAGGATTTGCTAAACTAACTTCTAGGGTGAATCCATTTAATGCTGTCTCATGTGTACAGGAAACCAACAGACCTGCTGTTTCTTTAAAGTTACCAAAGCTCATTTCCTCTGCCCCAGCTGAGGTGGACAAGAATCTAATATCAGTGACTAAGAGGATATAATGACCAATAAAATTTGAGTCTGCATTTAAGTATACAAATATGCACACAGATATGAATATACATATAATCATTTCTGAAATGTGGACTTAACCACTTACAGTAAGTAAGTTTTTATTATGTATGTAAAGTCTCATTATGACCACTCTGATAAGTATCAATATGTATAACCTTAACCTTAAATGTTCTTGTGTGATATATAAACTTTAATTCCAAAAAGAAAAAAAGTTGGAGCCTGCATTTACAAGTTCATTCACTGCCACAGAATTACGTTTCTTAGGCAGGCATATTCGAGGAGAGTCATGCCAAGATTTTTATTCATTTTTCACGGAATACCCAACTACACATTTCTGAATATTTAACTGAGATAATGATATGGATAATTTTTCTAAAACATCATTATTAACTACAATTCCCTAGCTAATAATTTCCCCAATATTTCAAAGCCTTTATCATCCCAAAACAAGAATAAATGAGGTCTCATTAGTATGTTTCCTGTCCACAGTGTAAGTATGAAAGTATTCTGAGAGGAGGATTAGATGTCTTCCTCCTTCCCAAGCTGGATTACGGGCTTTCCTTTGGTCTTTACTTAATACTTCTAAGTGGTTATTAAAATTACTCGATTCACAGTGAATCTTCGCTTTCCACTTACAATTAGCTAGGTTATTTTCCAGATCATACACAACATGTACAATCCCTACAAAAGAGAAGGAAGGCGAAGACAAAATTTTTCTCACCATTCCGTTGCAGGGGCTGTCACAGAAAGAGGTGCATGAGAAAGCTTTCATAACATATAAAAGGATATTTAAAAAAAATTCAGTTGAAACTCGACTGAAAATCCACAAGAGGGAGATGCTTGCTAAACCGCCAGAAAATAACTCCCACGAGGGACCGGATAGAGCTTAAGCAGGAGCCACTGAGTCTGCCTCAGACTCGGCGTGGGGGTGGGGAGAATGCGGGGGGGGGGGTGGCAGGTGTATATAGTATCTAGGGGCTGGAGGGAAGAGTCTAGCTGAAGGGATAAGCAGGATGGGCTTCGTGACTCTGACAGGGAAGCGTGTGCCCGTCTCAGAGTCCAGAAGCAGAAGGTAAGAGGGTGTAGCCAAAGAGGAGCACACGTTCCCAGCTACCTCCTGGTAGTCCCAGAAGAAATGGGGGTGGTTGTCTTTGAAGGTACTTCCGCTTAGCAACCCCACGCGGTTACTAAGGAGGGGCAGTGGCAGGGGTGACCCGGAAGTGGTAGTGTCCATTTCTCCCAGTCGCCTTCAAGTTCGTCCTATCGCGAGCGCCAGGGCGCCGTGCGCCGGGCCGAAGGCGGGGCCAGGGCTAGTGGTTCCTGTTCGGCTACAGCCCCCCCTCGGCTCCTCGCCTTCCCCCTCCCCTCCCGCACCTCCTCCCTCCCGCTCCTGGGAAAGAGAAGCCGCCACTGCGGGTGGGTAGAGAAGCACTAGGCACCTCCAGGAGGGGACTGCGCTCGCCCCATCTGAGTGCCGGAGCACAGCCAGACCAGGTACCCGCTTCAGCTTCGATGGGGTCCGGGAGGCTGGAGCCTGAGGATGTGTGTGTGTGTGTGTGTGTGTGTGTGTGTGTGTGTCTCTGTGTGTGTGTGTGTGTGTGTGTGTGTGTGTAGACTGGTGGGGGGGGCCCCGCTCCGGGTCCGAGCGGGGGACGCCGAGATCCTGGGTGGGGCGCAGGCCGGCAAGTGGTATCTCTGGAGGGTTGTAGGGTGCAGTGAAAGGTCTGGGGGACACCCCTGGCGTAGTGTTTGGTGTGGCCGGGTGAGGATGCGGAGGAGGCGCCCACCCTATACTGAAGACTCCGGCCGGTGCGGACGGCGAGTTTGCCACCTGAGGGGCTCGCTCTGAAAGAGGGAGCATCTTCCACGGCCAGGAGCAGGACATGGACCTCCGCTGGGTGACTGGGGCAATCCTGTGCTCCCAGCGCCAGCTTCCCCTGCCCACCCCGCTGGGACAGAGCCCGACTTCGAGGGGTGGGGGTTGCGAGTCGGCTGGGCACAGTGGGGAGCCGCCCTTGGAGGAGCGAGGGCTGGTGAGTGGGTAAGAGACCTCCCTCCACCCAACTTCCATGCGCTTCCCCCCACTTCTTCCCTTACTGCTCTTAATCCAGCGTCCTACCGGAGCGGTAGCCCCCAGGTGGGCAGGCTGCTCAGCGTGAAAGATAGGGGGTGGAACTAGGTTTGTTGTCCCTAAATGATACTTCAAATGTTTGGGAAGTGCCAGAATAGCATATTCAACGAAGTCTCCCAGTTTGATAATAAATCTCGTATAAATTATCATAGAAAAGTGCAATTATGAGAAACACCAAGGCTAGTTTGGCATAACCTTGTTCGGCAAATATACGTGTCTATAAAAAAAAAAAAATAGACTGGGGGAACCGTAGAGGTCTAGGCGAGACATGTTGAGGCAAGCCTTTTCTAACCTCTTTCTTACCTGCCATTAAGCCTGCCCTAGTTTACATGAAGCAAAAAGATTCTCCACATTTATATTTAAGTCAGTGACTGAGTTGTAGGTACGGTGTGGTGATAGATGTCTCAGAATAGATATGTGAACGTTCAGAAGATTTTCTGCTGTTGAGCCTGCCTCTTAATCTTTTAAGGAGATAATTGTGGTCAAATGCAAGTATTAGCCTTAAGGTAGGTAAATCTGGGATTGAACCCAGACTGTGCCACTGGGTAGTTGTTGACCTTGGGCAAGTCATGGAATTTACTAGAGATTCAGTTTTATCATAAGTAAAATGAGTTGAAAAATTCTTACCAGTGTTGTAAGAGTCCACTTCAAATGGAAGCATTTTCTAGTTGAAAGATGAGTTATTAGCATTAATCTTACATAGTAAAGGTAGCACAATTTTGTGGAATGAGGTTTGAGAAAGGAAGGGAACTAGGTAGTATTCCAAAACATACGTGACTTCTAAAAATTCATCCAAAATAATAAATAACATGAAATTCAATTATCAATTTCTGAAAAACTCTTTAAAATAAAGCAGAATATGTGCATTTATTGGAAAGACCAAGGTATGTTTCAGAGGTTTTTCTCAGATTTGTGGTATGCTTAGTGTGGATTGATAAGAAGACATTTAAGGGCCGCCCCGGTGGCGCAGTGGTTGAGCGCTGGGTTGCGAAGCTGCCCGCAGCCTCTGCAGTGCCGGTTCGATCCCCGGCTGCTCCCCGGCCACCAGAGGAGGGTCCCACATGGCGCGCAGACCTCTCCTGCCGCCCGCTGCTCCCCTCAGCAGTGTACTTCGGTCCTTCTGCCTGCTCTGCTCCCCGCTCTGGCTCTGGTGAATTCTCTCACCCTCCCGCGCTTCTGACTGTACCCAGTGCTTGTATAAATAAATAAATAAATAAATAAATGTAAAAAAAAAAAAAAGACATTTAAAAGTAATGTATGTAAATCTTAAACATCATATGTGTCTGAAGAGAATTGAATTTGGGGCATAAATGGAAGTAGTATTTGTAATTGTAAGATTAAAATCAACAACACTAGCATGACTCATCTTAAAATTAGATTTAAATGATTAACAAACTTTACAGAATTCTTATATGTATAATATGTAAAATAAATGGAATGACTTTCTGCCTTTAAATCATTCGTGATGAGACTATAGAAATTTCGGAAACATGACGTCTTTGTTTTGTAGACAGACTGTAAAGTTATGTGTAACCTGTCATATTTCCAGGGAATGTAATTTGCTTTTTGATGTGACTTGGTATTTTTACATTTTAAAGTACCTTGTATTCAGAGACCGAAAATCACATAATTTTAATCATAGTCTTTTTTGTGTGGCATGGGTAGGAATTTTGTAGTTCAATACATCTTTTTAGAGAGGTTTATAATTTTGCATAATTTTAAGTTATTTTCAAATTTATTTCTTCCCCATTTCTTTATCTTTTAAACAGTTGAACTTTCCCATTGTTAATAAAACTCTCCAACTTTATTGTATGTTTCTTTTTTTTAATTAAAGATTTATTTTTATTTATTTATGCATACAAGAACTGGGGTGTAGGCCAGAGGTTCAGGGAGTGAGAGGATTCACCAGAGACAGGGTGCGGAGCAGAACAGTCAGATCTACTAAAATCCACTGCTGAGGGGAGCACTGGGTGAGACAGGAGAGGTCTGCTGTGCCATGTGAATTAGCTCCCTGTCTAGGATAGAACTCATGCCACAGTGGCTGGTGATGCTTGGTAGCTCTGAGACTTTATACCCTGGGCCCCCAGGGAGGGCCTGCATGTTTCTTTCTTTTTTTTTTCTAGTTTTTTACTTTCTAAGATTTTTAAAATTTTCTTATATTGTTCTTTATTTTTGTACAATAGTTGATTTCTCTGCTCTTGTTTAGTCCCCATGAATCTCCCATCACCACATCACACGTGAACCATCACCATAGTCCCTTATGCTCTTCTGTTCCCTATTTTGACCCATATCCCTCCTCTTCCCCTGCTATATATTGCATGTTTCTTGAAAGGAATACTATCCATTTTTAATTTTATTCACAACAGTATTGATCAAATTGATAAGTGGAAAGCCATATTTAAAATTATTAAAGTATACTGTTTTTTGAAAGAGTTGAATTCTGCTTTTGCTGTAGTAGCAGATTCTTTTGGTAAGGTTATTCAACTTTGTAAGTGACTTTTCTGAGACTGTAAAGTCTTTGATGTATAGATAAGCTTTTTGCGATGTTATTCTGGATCATCATCTTTGGACTTTTGAAGTTGGCCATGTTATCTTGTTTACTTAGTAAAATGATCGGAAGTTCTGCTTTGCCTCCTATCTCCCACCTTCTCATAAATTTTAGCAAACCATTTATTTTGTTATAAGAGATGGGATACTAGATTGTAGCCTACAGTAGAGACTATAAGACATGGTCCTTTTTTCAGTGACCTTTTCACTCAAACTAAGTATGTGGCCATTCCAAGGATCTTTGCAGTTGTCAGTTAATGGAATTTGCTTGTCAGGAAATCTAAAAATGACTAAACCTCCCTTTGCTATCTCTTAGATAACCTCAAAGTTTTAGGAAAGATTGGAAAGGTTTATATACCATGTACTAGAATCGTATAATAAGCACAGTACAGTTGATTTTATTGGTACTTTCAACTTGGGAATAAAATAATTACTGCGGAAGTATTTTTAAGAATGCCAGACAGGACTTTCTCTTTACTGAAAACAAATTAGTATTCTTTCAGAGCTTTTTACTCCTTTAAAGCATATTTCTTTTATGAAGATACAAGTTAATTTCTAATAAGAATAAATAATCAGTGCCCAGAAAAAAAAGACTGATATGATAGACAGATTTTATTATTGCCAATCTTAAAAGAAACTGCTTCAGTGGCTTCAAACAAATAAATAAAAGTAGATTTTCATTAGAGAATTTCAGAATGTGTGGAACAATAGTTTTTCTTTTTTTTTTTTTAACTTCTCACTTATCTCTACTCATTTTGGCCTAATATAGAAACTTTGAGAAGCTGGGAGGGAGAAAATGAATGAACTTACTTCAGAATTGCCATTTTAAGATTATTTGGAGAGCTAAATTGGATTTTGACATTATTGGGATTGTATTCAAGATGGACTCAGTAAAAAAAAAAAAAATAGATGCCATCTGTTTCAGATTCCTTATTCCCTCACCCCCTTCATATTTTGTGTTTTTGAATTCATCAGATTATTTTTCAAAAATAAAAATCCTCAGTAGATTCGTTACATAATTTCAGCTCTGTAAATGAACCATGTAACTAAAAAAACTTGCATTTATATTGACTCACATAGAATGATCATGTACATTGGCAAAAGGTAACATTTATTTCAAACTATCTGAACATTAGGTGGCTTGATGCATTTTTGTCAGCATTCACTTAATAAACCATGTTTGTCAGTAATGCTTACCATAGTCTGATTGTTGATAGAAGTTTCTAAAAGTGGCTTATGGAAAAAAAGAATAAATCTTTGTTCTCTTGGTGACTTAAAACACCAGAAGAAACGCTTCTACTTAGGTTTTTAACTTAGTGATAAGTCTATTTAAACTTACTCTCTCAGTTTTGTCTTACCTTAGCCAACTGCTATCGTTTTCATCTATAGCATACATTGTTACCATATAGTTCATAGGGTGCATATTTACCACTTTTCCGGAGGACAGGCTTTTGGGTTTACTGAGATGGAAAAGACTGTAACTTGTTCTGGTTAAGGTACTTGGCACCTAGAGTGGACCAGAAAGATTCAGGCATTTTTGACAAACTATGAAGTAGAACTAGTGTGGTGTCCCAGAAATGGCCTGAAGAAGAAGGCATGTGGATGGGAGAGCCGAGCTTTGCAGGAGGAGGTTCTGGTGTTGTAGGAAGACAGGTGGACTGCCCCTACACTGCTGAAGTCTCTTCCTAACCCTGAAGCTCCAAGTAAGCAGGGTAGTTATCACAGGAGCTGGGGTGTCAGGGATGGGAATTGTTCTCCAATAATTGCTCATCCATCACAATGGAGGCACAGACACTGGGGAAAGGGCTATTCTCTT